GGAAGCTGACGATTGAAAAGTTAAAGTCATCACGTTTATCATAAAGCTTGGTTGTTAGATTACCATTAACGTCTTTTTCAAGTAAAATATCCAAATATGAAACAGATGTGTCAGACTCTGTAGTATCTTCTATCTCAAGCTCACCAGGATATATCGTATCGACAAAAAAGTGGAAATAACCATTGTTAATTGACAATACGTCGTCGATATATCTAAATGTCGAGTTGGAGGCCACAGCAAGTGTTTTCTTCTTTTCACGTATGAGATTTTGGACAAATTCTGCTTCATATGAATACAAAAAAGGTCTGCTAATAACGGGGCGCAATTGGTACCCATGGGAATTCCAATAGATTGTTGGAAGACCTGGTCTCCAAAAACCACATAGATATTGTCAATCAGAAACTCAAGCATCTTTTTAATGTCAACTTCAGAGTACTTGTGTGTACAATCAGAATGGTTTTAACAAAATAATTTTGCAAATGACCAATGACAAGGTAAGTAAATTTACGATCTCAGCCATTGTGAGACCTTTTTATTCTAAAAAAATGCATGACAACAATCAAAGGAAGATTGTACAATACTAGATACGTCATGGAAAGTGATATTCATCAGTGTCTTTAGGGTATCCCTAAAGATGGGATGCTGAGGTTTTCTGGTCATGGGCACAAAGACTTAAGACGTGTAAAGGATAACAGGAAATGACTTGAGGGATTAAAAATGTTTAGAATATATATTACGCACTTTCCTTACTTTTAAATGACCCATTGCATTGTTTATTGAACGATGCTCGTATTTTCATTTTGTACAGCGTCTTTTGTCAATTTTCGTTGTCAAATTAGAACTAAACTAGTAATGCTATACGTACATGTACCATTATTAGACTGACAATATTCACCCGGGAAAACCCTTAAAATTTTTTCATGTGATAGTATGAAATGCAGATACATACAACAGGTTTATGTCAAGGAGGAGATAAGGTTCTAGCAGAAATGCAAGATCGAGATAATTCTAGATTAGTATTGTCTCCTAGATATTCTTTCTCGACAGATTTTTGTAATTATAATTCATATAATTCTTTGTTATTGTGCGTGTTTATTACATCATAAGTAACCAGAATGAAATTTTCTAGGACTATCAGAGATTTGATTTTTGTTTGTAATCGGACGATGTTTTGTTTAACAATGCGCACATGGAAATGATCACTAGATTACTGTAGTCAGCTATACATGTATTTTGCTTAAGCGTGCCACATTGAACTTTGCAGGCTGCAATGGCCTTTTAAAAGAGTTTCAAGCACTTGATTTATTTAGGGAGCAAATACAGACTCTCACATTTAATGTTGTCATTTTATTTTTGTTTAAAACGGGTATAGTAGGTATAATTCCTTGTCTAAAGTTTGTTTTTGATACATTCCAAAAACTAAAGACTGGATGCTCTGATGTAGAGCTACTAAATCGGTTTGTCTACCTTTGTATAATACATGAAGGTAGAATCAAGTTGTCTCACACTCTCTAAGATATATTGATATATTTCCATCACAGCAACCGTATTATTTTTTTTATCCACCTTTTTATACAATCCCACGATTTATATTATTGGTTACCACTCGTCTTCCGCAACAGCCATGACAGGTCTCTATCGCGTGATTTACTGAGACCTGCGCTTGAAATTTAGAAAGGCCTCAAATAGTAAATGTAATATCACTAAACATCGATAAATAACAGCATTCGAGATGGATTTTTGTTTCCGAAACAGCAATATTTATGCTTAAAATATAGGAATTCCAATATTGATCCTCTCCTTAGATCCAAAATTCTCATTGGCTGTCTCAAAATAAAATCGATCAAGGTCAGTAAACATGGTGGAAAAACTCAAGTTGTGATGTTGGCATACACGAAAAATAACTATAAAAAATCTATGGTTTATTCATTAAATTTTTGGATCAATGTATGTCTTGCATGACTACATTTTTTTAAAATCATATATGAAATGTTGATAAAACAGTCACTTTCTAATAATTTGAGCCTAAATTCGTGCGGTAGTGAATCACTCCCACACTTACATCATTATGGAGATAACCAGACTGTTTATATTACATGTATAAACGAACCATAAAAGTATTACTGAGTACTAGAAGCACTGTGCTACTGATAAGTTGTGAATTTGAAATTTAATTCGGTATGCAAGTATTGGAAATCTAAACGAGAATGTCGGTTCCGGTTAGAGGCACGAATTTTATAATTTTCATTAGTGGCATCGGTTCTAATATTTTCCTGGCACGTCAAATATCAAAATCGTGGAAAAAGCCCAGAAAATGTCCAAGTTTTCAGAAAAATTTACAGGCCACATCCAATTATATTCCAAAAGATGATTTGGTGAAGATTGAAAAAAAATGTTAGGCCTTCTTGGGACATGATTCTTGTAAAAAAAAATCGTTATTTTTCTACCCCCGAAATTATCTCCCAGGATAACAATGAAAACTCTGTAACCTCTCTGCATGTATACAAGACACTATAATCATACTTGAAAAAATAAATTGGCTACTGCTTACAATGTAAGAGTACTTTGAAGATAGTGTTCCAGGTGGACGGACGGACCTGAATTTTGTTTTGTTTGTATTTTGTTTAACGCCCCTCTCGAGAATTCTTCACTCATATGGAGACGCCACCACTTGCCGGTGGAGAGCTGCAAATTTTGTCCTATGCTCGGCATTTATGGCCATTGAGCAGTGAGGGATCTTTTTCGTGCCGCACCTACTGCGACACGGGACCTCGGTTTATACGGTCTCATCCGAAGGACCGGTCTCCACGTCCCACAGTGGGATTCGAACCCGCGACGTAAGGATCAACTCCTTACTCCGCGACTCTAGAGCAGATGCTCTAACCACTGCGCCACGCGGGCGACATGGACCTGAATTAAAGCAATATACCCGAACTTTCTAAAGAAAGTGCGGGTATAATTATCTCTTACTTGTAATAGTATTTTATATTTATATATATATATATTTATATTTATATATATATAGAGAGAGAGAGAGAGAGAGAAACTTGTCTAATCCGGACACCACTTGTTCCAAAGAAATTGACCGTATAAGACAACATTCCAGATTAGACAGCATGTAAAACTATTGAATTTACTGCAAGGGAAATAAAGTTTACACCGTAATAGACAAGATTTCGGATTACACAACATCCGGATTAGACAAGTTTCAGTGTATGTATGTGTGTGTATATATATATATATATATATATATATATATATATATATATATATATATATATCAAAAACACACAAAACTATATAGATGTAATGCCCCCACGTAGGGTTTGCCTCTAAAAGTACATGTGCTCACTTTTATATTTGGGAAAGAAGGGAAGATACAACAAATATTATTCTATAACTAAAAAGTCCCTTTTGGACCCCCAATCGCCCTCAGGGTATATACCAAATATATATCAAAAATACACAAAACTAGATGTAATACCTCCACGTAGGGTTTGCCTCTAAAAGTAAATGTACTCACTTTCATAATTCGGTAATAAGGGAAGAAACAACAATAATTCTATAATTTAAAAAAGTCCGTTTTCAGCCCCCAATCGCCTCCAGGGTGAAAATCAAAACACCTAAATGCACATCTACAGGACACTCCCAGACTTCCAAAATATGATTGGGCTACTGTGAAAAATGTAACAGGAGTTCAGGGAACCAGGTTTGTGTAAAGTTTCAGTATTTAGACTGGTCTCAGAATTTTGATTTTTACCGTGGGGGCCGTATGTAGGTAAAAAAAACACTATTGCACATCTACCGGACACTCCCAATCATATTACAAAATATGAATGGGCTACTGTGAGTTTAAGAGGGGTTCAGGGAACCAGGTTTTTGTAGAAAAACGAGACTTTTTGACCCCAATCGCCCCCAGGAAGAGAACTGAAATTCCGAAACCTTATTGCACATCTACAGGACACTCTCAATCATATTCCAAAATATGAATGGTCTACTGATCAGGGAACCAAGAATTAGAGGACAACTATTTTTATCCCCATTAGGCATCCAGAGTGAAAATGAAAATTTCAAAATTTGCACATGGTCAAGGCACCACCAATCATATCCCAAATATGAGTTGGCTACTGCTTAAAATGAAAGAGTAGTTTTAGGAAGAAGATAGTGCGACAGACGAACGGAGGGACCAAGAAAACAATATACTTTAACTTCCTTTTGAAAGTGCGGGTATAATAAATTGTGTATCAAAATGTCTTCAAAAAATTATTTCCTTTGACATTTTTTATAATGTTCAAATGGCTTAGGTATTTTGCGCCAAATCGTGGACAATCATGCTTAAATGATTTGACGCTTTTTGCGCCTGCGTCTACCATCGATTAAATCGTCTACTATTTACTTCATGAATTTGTTCGTTTTCATGTTTCTACAAACATTTTTTCTTTCCTCTTCATACCATTTTGTATCAAAAGTTCTATAGAAGTTGCTAACATTTCTTGCGCTGTCTATAATGGAATCTCCAGATGACTCAGTGGCTTCCGGATACACATACAGAGTCTCCTACCCTAAGTAGTTATCTAGATATTAACTAACTTAGTAAAAATCATCAAATGATAACTTTTTACTTACAAATGTAGTAGAAACATTGAATCATATCTTTTTCATTACTTTATATATTAAAATCATCAAGGTCTAATATTTTTTCTTGCTTTATCGATTATTTTATCCACCTGAGTACATTAAAACTATGTTAAAGAAAGGGAAAAATCTTTTCTTTTCTACTATAGAAATAAATTTGAATGATAATAAGGGTAAATAATTATACTATATAATGATGTTGATGAAGAAAAAGTTATGGTATTTGCACATTTTTAGTTATTTTGAACAAAACAGGTAAGCACCATAAGTATTTACAAATCTGATACTGGTATCTGAACTTAAACAGCAACTATACTCAAATGTAAAGCGGCAAATGTTCATAAAAATATCGTCATTTTCCGTACCTAATGAGCAACTGACTCCCGAATCTTTGCTATGAACACAAATGTGGTCACCAATTTCTGCTTTAGGACACTGGAATAAATTAGCCTCACTTCCTGTACATTTAACATCGTCCATCCATATAGGTCCTTGTCCTGGTCCAAAGAAAGCCCCATTTCTGGCCACAGCATTTTTCCTGAGGAGAATTTATTATAGAATTGACTATATAAATTATTTTGTTCATCGAGAAATGAATCTAAAAAGTGAATCGCACACTTTATGAAAGCATAAAGCTTTCATAAAAAAGTGTGCGATTCGTTTTTCAGATTCATTTCTCGATTAACAAAATAATTTATAAAGTCAATGCTTATAATTCACTTTCAGTGAAAAACATGTCACTTTTTATGTACATACTCATTATTTAGCTAACTCAAAAAATTGTGCACGAACAACTGCGTAGAAATATATCGATTGGAAAATTACACGATTCTCGGGAGCGGATCTAAAAGCCTGTAGTAAACAAGGCGGGTATAATTTTCTTTTAAAAGTTATAAAAATAAAGAATTCCCCATTATGTTATATTGTCTTTATGATAATTTACTAGTTGTCAGTAAGCAAACAATCAACTGTAACACGTCGAGTGGAGTGCAATGGAATATAAACAAGAGGCCCAAGGGCCTTAACTGTCACCTGAGTACAACAATTTAGAGGATCCATAAACTGATAAATGAAGCTTTGTTGCCCAATACCAAGGAAAATAGTACGATTAAGACCAACAAAATAATTGGTCTAGTATCTTTCTATCTGTCCCCCATTTATCACTATTACCATGCAGACTTTTAAAAAAATGTCTATATTATTACCTCTCACACTGGCCTCACTTGGCCTTTGAAAAACATTTTTAAAAAGTTATTTTTGTTTCATTTTTATTCATCTATTATTTCCAAGTCTACCTGATTATTAAAACGATGAAAGTACTTTTTGTATTATACAATAAATGTTCTTGCATAATTCTCTTATTCTATTAACCTTTCAAATACATTATCTACAGTGATTAATTATCAAAGGTGAATGGCAAAGGGGAATAACTTCAGTAGAATACAAACTTTTAGAGCCCTGGCCAGGACCAGAACACTTGACTAAATGGTCCAGATGTTCAAAATTCTGGTAAAAATACCTTGCTTATTAAAACTTTTACTCTGTTTGTTTCCAATATGCCTAGGAGTAGAGGAGATTTTCAAAGAAATAATGCATTTTCACTATTTAACACAGCCCTACCCTAACACCAGAACCCATGAACTAGGGTCATGAAAATTTAAAAATTTGGAAGAGGTATCCTCATCATCATAAATATGCAATTAGTTGAAGATTTTCAAAGAATTCACACATTTTCACTATATAATCAAATAGAGCCCCCCCCCCCCCCTCAGAGAAACAACAGAACCCCTGGGACCACAAGTTTTAAAAATTTTGTAAAAGCATTCTTGCTCGTCATAACTATACACTTGTTTCTTTGCTTTATAACCAGGAGTAGAAAAAACTATTTAGAAAGAAATTATGAATTTTCACTATATAATCAATGGAGTCCCCCCCCCCCCTTTCACCAGAACCCCTGACCCAGGGGCCATGAAATTCACAATTTTGGAAGAGGCAGCCATGCTCATCATAACTATGTACTTAGTTAGTATATTTCATACCCAGGAGCAGAGAAGATTTTCAAAGATTTAATGCATTTTCACTATATAATCAATAGAGCCCCGCCCTAATACCAGAACCCCTGACCTAGGGGCCATGAAATTCACAATTTTGGAAGAGGCAGCCATGCTCATCATACCTATGTACTTAGTTAGTTTATTTAATACCCATCAACAGAGAAGAAGATTTTCAAAGAAATAATGCATTTTCACTATATAATCAATAGCCCCCCCCCCTCAACACCAGAACCCCTGACCCAGGGGCCATGAAATTCACAATTTTGGAAGAGGCAGCCATGCTCATCATAACTATGTACTTAGTTAGTTTATTTCATACCCTGGAGCAGAGAAGAAGATTTTCAAACATTTAATGCATTTTCACTATATAATCAATAGAGCCCCCCCCCCCCCTCAACACCAGAACCCCTGACCCTGGGGCCATGAAATTCACAATTTTGGCAGAGGCACTCTTGCTCTTCATAACTATGTACTTAATTAGTTTATTTAATACCCAGGAGCAGAGAAGATTTTCATAGAAATAATGCACTTTCACTATATGATGTATATAGCCCCACGTACCCTAGCACTACAACCAACTCCTGACCCTGGGACCATGAATTTCACAATTTTGGTGGAGGGCTTAGTGCTTATTACAATCATGCCAACAGTTTGACTGCTTGATGTCCAGAAGTAAAGAAGAAGATTTTTAAAGATTGCATTAATTTTGGTGGTTTTAGCCCCACCCCTAGGCCCCAGGGGGGCAGGGACCATGAAATTCATAATTTGTGTTCCCCTTTACCCATAAATGCTATATGCCAAAATTGGTTGAATTTGGTTGAGCGGTTTCAGAGAAGAATCTAAAAATGTTCAAATGTTAACGCGCGACGCACGACGAATGCCGACAGACGAAAAAGGATATCAATAGGTCACCTGAGTGACTCAGGTGACCAAGAAAGAGATATCTTTAGGTTTAATAGGAATAAACTTACTTTTCGATACACCTTAATACACGTACAACTTCATTGACAGTTAACATAGCAAATACCCTGTATAAAGTTGATGTGCAGATGAAAAACGTGAGAATGTGCGAATAACACACATCAGGAAAACTTAGTCTAAGGTCCTTCTAATTATTTAAATTTTAAAACCGACATAATAACTTTTTTTTTCTAGTTTGGTTTTCAATTTGTACGACATTCAATGTAAATTGTTACTTGTTACAAATAAAAAACGCAAAACACGTGCTTCTTTACAAAATTATATCACTTACCATCCCCGGCATTAACCATTGACAATAGTTTCCTCGCATAATAATTTATTTGAATATTTTTCTTTTCTCTACTACCAAGAATTTTATTGTATGATTTAAAAATAAAAACACATGATTGAATTTTTTCCTTTAAATCACACTGAGAGAAATAAAAGATTTACAGAAGCTGAATTTAAATCATGAAAAGAACATAATCATTCATTTGAGAGAGTATTAGTTTATAACACAGTCGCGTTCCTATAGTTTTTAGAAAGACGTTAACAGTGACAATCATCGTATCAAAACGTATAGTGAAAAGTAGTTCGGTTACTAAGTTGACATTACATTCGTCGAAAAATGAACAGAAATATTCCTCCGTAGACATACATTACTTCAAAATGATGAAAGTGAGGAAATTTGAATTGTATTATTTAATTTACCCTGTTGTTATAGCTCATCTATTATTTCTTGTTTAACTACTTATTTCTTTGTAATGACTTGGTTTAAATGAATTTGTAATTTTCTTTGTCTAAAATTTATCTTTAAATGCGATTCAGTTTGTCGGATTCTATTATCGTTATATGTATTATTAAACAAGAAAACATTGATGTAACCATCAATTGTCGCCCGGGAAATAAATAAAGTAAACAATGGAAATGAGTCTTTATCATCAAACCGCTTCGATATGTGTGAAAAAGGCACGCGTCTAAATGATGGAGACGATAGTCGAGAATATTTTGAAAACTTATAGTCGGATGAAAATCGAACAAAAACGATACCCTTTTAAACTTTATCAATTCTTCAAGTAAATGTTGGCTGCATGAAATATAATATGAAACCAGACACATGCATCACCTATTTTCAAAAATATCTTTCACTTTAAGAATATAAAACACGAACTGTGTAAAGTACATTTTTACGTTTTTATGCGATAAGTAAAATTCGATGTTCTAAAAAAAGGGACCTGTCGTTTTTTCGATAGTAAATGATAAGCAACTTTATATATTAAATATGAAAAACATATATATTTTTACAGATTCACTTTATGGAAGTAAATATATTGTGTATCTCGTAATTTATAAAGGGAAAGAACATTCTGATTAACAATCTTTTTAATGTTTAGAAAACCTTCAATTCTGAATAACTTCTCCCACCTCAATCCCCATATACCAACACTTAAACTTATATGTATAGAGCAGCCCGGTCCTCCGGGCTGCAATTATTCAGACTTTTTTTTAAAGTTATGGCTATATATCCTAAACGATTGATTAAGGTAAGACGACACGTTTCTCAATAATAAATAATTTTCCCCAAGAATTTGTCTTTAAAATACTGCTAATTTGACAAGTTTCTTCACAAAAAAATGATGTACCTTACTAGGCAATTGTGCAAGATACCAGAGGGTTGCGTTTCCTATATAATCCTATTTTAAATCATTTGAATTGTCAATATCACATTTTTGTTGTATTTATTTTCTAAGATATTTTGAACAGTTTAGAAATCAGAAGATAATGTTAACATTATGAATATTTCTTATATTTTACAAGGAGAAACAAAAAGATGTTTGAGAAACGTGTCGACGTGTGACAATAAGCAACACGCAAAAACATCACATATCCAAAGTCTCACCTTGAAAATCCAAGCATTGAACACACTACGGCGGCTTCATTGTCGTCCCAATCATTATCACAAATAGTTCCCCATGCACCTTTTCTTTGTATCTCCACTCGGCCCATTGCAGTTGTGTACCCATTTAGAAGTCGAACTTTTTGAACTGTAATACAATTTCCCATAACTTCCAGTGTTATGCGTTTATACATTTATTGTATAAATGTATATATTCAAGGAATAATTGTCTTTTTTATGATGATGAACGATAAACGTAGTCTTCAGAGAAAAGGTCTTCCAATAAGCAGTTGGAATTCCGATTGGCACTAATTGTGCTTCAGGGTTCTCCATCATTTCAAATTTGACTGTGGCGCATTTGTTTCCCGAGGTGCTAATTTTCGCGATAATTAGCGACCGATTTCGCGAAAATTAAAAAAAAACAACACACGACTCTTCTGAATCGCTATTTTGATATACAAATTAATAGTATGAATTATTTGGCGAATTGAAAAATGATTTTAATAATACTAAAAACAATTAACGGATATCGATATACATAGCCTAAAAAAGGAATGTTTCCAATAAATAAGTGTACTGTGACTCGGTCACTCACTCCCCATCCCTACCCCCAACCCATCCCCCAACATACATGTAGGTAGGTACTTAATAATACTTAATAATAATATAACTAATAGGATTTGAATTCTTAAACCCATTTTAAAAAAAAAACAACTTTAATTTATAAAAGGTAAATTATACACCTACAGTATACATTAATTGAGTGCGGAAATTCCAGTAGGTCACACAATCAAACTTCCATCTAACCGTTATATATATATATATATATATATATATATATATATATATATATATATATATATATATATATATATATATATAAAGCACATTTTACAAACAAGTCTTAAACTAACTCTAACATAACTGCCCTAAGTGAAGAAATATTAATAAAGAAAGCACAAAGAAATCAACTTTTTATAAGGATACTCACTTCCGCCCCAACCTGGGGTTGAAATCTCGACCTACGGAATCTGTCTCCTAGCTGTAAGGAACAGCGCGCTAGACCGCTCGGCCATCTATGCAAGTAAAAAAAAAAAATGCTTTCGATACCGATGGAATTCGATGGAATTCTCTCGGCGCTGTCCCACTCTACACGGTCATTGAGAATGGAAGTGAGATAAAGTTAATTAGACAATAGTTTTATTATAGAGGATCGTTACCGATACACATTGTATTCTTTTTTATATTTTTATTAATTTTATTTCTAAAGCACATTTTACAAATCTTAAACATAACTGCCCTAAGTGAAGAAACATTAATATATAAAGCACAAGGAAATTCACTTTTTATAAGGATCGGTAACGATCCCCTAATAAAACTAATGTCTAATTAACTGTATCTCACTTCCATTCTCAATGACAGTGTAGTGTAGGACAGCGCCGCGAGAATTCAATCGGCATCGAAAGAAGGTTTTTTTTAACTTGCCTAGATGGCCTAGCGCGCTGTTCCTGTACTGCTAGGAGACAGATCCGCACGTCGAGAGTTCAACCCCGGGTTGGGGCGGAAATGGGTGCTCCTTTATTAGCCGATCTGTTTTTATATTTCTCTGAAGCAGGATTTATTCAAAAAGAAGAAAACATCGGCCTTCAACTCGGCACTCCGATATATCGACGGCATTTCATCAATTAACAAATGTTTCTTCTATTTATATGTCCATTTATATGTCGACTCGATATATGCCACTGAACTTGAAATACACCACAGAATCTGCCACATCTGTTTCACATTTGGATGTTTTACTGACTATAGACGATAAAGGCCAACTAACAACCAAACTGTATGACAAACGAGATGACTTCAAGTTTTCCATGGGCAACTTTCCTTATTTATGTAGTAATGTTCCGCTATCACCTGCATATAGTGTTCACTTCTCCCAACTTATTAGAACATTTTTTAAAAGGGACAGGTTACTGACAGATAAGATGATGCTACAGGGATTGCAACAACCTCGTTTAAAGTAAGCATTTCGTAAATTCTATAGTCGTTTAAATGACTTTGTTTGCAAATATAACTTATCATTGGGTCGTATTTTGGCTAACATGTTTCATACCATTTGTTAGGCTTTTATACTAATTTTGATTACGGAATGTTCCGTCTACCTGATCAATACGGCGGGTGTGTCCGGTCAACAGGGGATGCTTACTCCTCCAACGTACCTAATCCCACCACTGGAATTTCCGGGGGTACGTCCGTGTTTTGTGCCCTGTTCACAGATTTGCATTGTTAGTAAATTTTTTTTAGGTCGATCACCGTTTGTTATCCACATTTTTCTTTAATGCCGAGTCGGCAGTATTTATGCCAAATACCGTCAGCAAATGATTACTAGAAGATAGATATACTTCAGGTTATTTTAAAACACAATATTGAGAATTAACTGTAAATTAACCTTAGGTATATATAATTGTCTTTTTGACAAGACATATCCCATAATATTTGGTAGTTGCGGCCTGTAATATGACTGTTAAAACTGTCTGTGTCAGAGATGTGCTTACAGAGGAGACAACTTCTGTCAGAGTAAGTTTTAAAACCCTCGCTAGGTAATGGGTTGTCCAATTTGGTTATAACTGTCATATCAGATCCTTAAAGTTCCTATAGCGCCTTTAGGAAGCTAATGGAGTCTTCTTAAACACCTCTTACATTCTTTCATCTCATCAGTGGTAGTATGAACATTGTGTGACACATTGTAAAGTAATGCATTACACTTCTGGGTATTAAATTGCCATTACTATTACTTTGTTTTCTTAAAGTAATGCATTATATTTTGCTCTAACAGTAGAATGGTTGTCTTCTATTCCTTACGGTTCAGTAGATTTGCCTTGATCAGCTCCAGCTAGACCAGCTCAATGTTTCATGAACACAGTCAGGATATAGGGATTAGTATGTTGAGCACCACTCAAAACAATACATTGTTTAGATTGTTACATACTCCCAAAGATCTCTGACAATGTTGACACTGTGTACCTTTAATTAGTGCATAGGCCATAAAAACGTACCCCTGGAAAATCCAGAGATGGGATCAAGACGCTGTGAGCCCTATGTAATGATCTGGTAGACGGCAAATTTCGTAGTCAAATTAAGTATAAAAACAAAGTCCTAACACACCCTATTGTATTCCTCACCATATATCTTAAAAATGTTTCTTAAGAATCTTAAAAATGAAAGATTTCATGATAGACTGAAATTATATTGTGATTAATAGGGTTTATCTTATAAGGATAAACCAGGTTATTCAGTGTAGTAATTACATGTGTATAATTTTCTAATGGGCAAAGGGCAGTAACTCTTAATATTAAGTCAATTGTAGTTTCCCTGTTGCGTTCCCCTTTGTCTATGTAGTGATCATGCGCAAACACTACTTTTATTTGGTGAGCATGCGCGTTCAACTCTTCCTTTTTCTTCATCAACCCTTGAGCAAGAGACACGAAATCCCTCTCACCCACCTCCAATTATTAAAATTCTATATACTCTTAAAAATGGTTTTTTCTGCTTTCTCAATTTATTTTTTTTCAAGGTCATGACCAGTGTCAGCGCCGATTGGTTACCATGTGACAGTCTCTGCGTCTAATGGACTTTTTTTTATTTGCTTCTAATGGACATGGCATAATTTTGCATAGAATTCCGTCTCCGGGGGGTACTGTTGTCTCCAGGCTCCTTGGATCCAGATGGTATTTCTATTGCTGTCTCATATATATTTATGCTGCCATGTAATTGTAATCGGCGCATATATTTGTGAATTTAATACATATTACACTGTACATATAATAAAAGGTCATGACAAGCACGCCAAACACAATTAAATGTTGTTTTTATTTCAAGTATGGTTGAGGCCAGGTTCATAGGACAATGTTTCTTATTAGTTTTCAGGTTAAAAAAGGGGGCTTTACAGTCACTAAATAATTAAATGTTAATTATTCATGGATTAAAAGTAAGTTTTTCTATACTGTAATATATCGCTTATTAATGGGCAATATGTTACTTTTAAACTCAATCGATTGATTGATTCTATATTGTTTTACGTCCCATTCGAGAATTTTTCACTCATATAGAGACGTCACCATATACCGGTGAAGGGCTTCAAATTTTGACCTTTACTCGGCACTCAGGGCCATTGAGCAGTGAGGGATCTTTATCGTGCCAACGCCTGCCGTGACACGGGGCCTCGGTTTTTAAGGTCTCATCCGAAGGACCCGCAACTTTCACTTCAAAGTGCCGAGCGCATGGCGAAGGAACAGTTGCTACCTATTTTTTATCGACTTAGGTCTGTCGCGGCCGAGATTCGAACTCACGACCTCCCGATCACGAAACTCAATCGAAGAAGAGATACAGTTATTTTTCAATGTACAAACCCTGAAACGTGCTACTACCCCAAAAAAGCGTGTAACTTTCGTGCGCTTTTCGTTTCGTGCAAACCGTGTAGCGTTTCGTGTAAACCGTGCAGCGTTTTGTGCAAACCGTGTACCGTGTAGCGTTTCGTGTAAACCGTGCAGCGTTTCGTGTAAGCTCCAAAGCGTTTCGTGCAAACCGTGTAGCGAGCGTGCGGGAAGCGTGTGAGAAACGTGCGACTTTCGTGTAAGAACCGTGTGAGAAACGTGCAACTTTCGTGCAAGAATCGTGTGAGAAACGTGTAGGATTCATTCGGAAGTCATTTCATTTTAAATATAGCTATCGATGGGTCAGGATGTCAAATAGTGTTGTTTATAGCTAATATTATTCGGAGATATTATACTGGATGTATTTTAAGAGTGAAATTTAAAAAAAAAGTATGAGAGCAACAAAATAAATTACACGGTAATGTATATTTAATTTGTTTTTCTTTATTTTTTTCTCTCAAAAATAAAGATGGACAGGAAATTTATTCAAACTAATTACATGTAATAACAGTGTATGTGCAACATTTTTAATGAATTGATTTAAATGCACAATCGGAGTGATCATATCTTTTTCTATTTTATTTTCTAAAGAAAGCAACAAACGAAATTTCAAACGAAATTTTATCAGGACTCCGCTCTTGTCTATTCATTACCAGATTGTATTAAATAATTTTAATACTGTGTGTCAGCTTTCTAACACATAGCATTGGTTGATTTATAGTTGAAAAATATGAGTATAATTCACTTGCATTTACGAACGCAGGATTAGAAATTACCGAGAAGGAGGGGGGGGGCGCATTTCAAAAACGCAAGCTTTTAATTTCAATATTTATCGGTACCGGGTGTTAAAAAGCATAATTGACTCTCTTTTGTATAAAGAAATAAATACTTAATTTATTTATATGGTGCATCGGATGCACCACTTAAAATATATTGGAATATTTAAATCTTCAACTTCCCATTTGCGAATGTGATCAAGGTCATTTACGACAGCGACCACGGGCTCCACGGGCAGGGAACTGAAAGCTTGTTCTGCTTTTATCTTTTATCAATCATGTCTAAAATACACCCGAGAATAACGATTGAGTTTAAATTTGTGATATTAAATGCTTATTTTTTTATTTAATTGGTACACATAATACCCGTGGATTTTATTTTTAATCGACCCGAATTTCCGTAATCAGTGGATTGTTCGGCAGTCACAATAAAAAAGAGTTTAGAAATAAATTATAAATAACAATTACATATCAGTTGTTTTATAAATCAGGCAGCTTTGTATTTTTTTTTAAATGTTCGAGTTTTCATATAATGTACTTGGACATGTATACACGAATATTGCATGGTAAGTTGTGCCGTGACTATTTGTAAATTACATAAAATTTCCCCTTTACCGAGTTTTATAATGAAGGAATTTACAAGGTGATGGGTATATGTATATTGTTGTCATTTTAGGTACATGTAGAGAGAGCTAATTATCCTTTATACCCTTCTCCCCGCGGGTTTTTCTTCCATTCTTCCATATAGAATTCTAATGTTAAATGAAACTCTATAATAAAACGTTTAAATGTTAAAATTACCATTTGGTATAAAATGTTTTATTTTATTAAATCTCTCTGGAGACATGAATATTTTTAAGCACAGTTACTTGTTTCTCTAATAATTTTTTCCCAATAGTATAATTACTTAAACGACTGTCGGTGGTCTTAAGCCATGTCAGATCTATAGATACACAAGAAAGATCAAGATCTCGGTAATCTCCCCCTCCTCGCCCCCGACCAAAAGAGAGAAAGAAAGAAAATGCATAATCATCCTCTTTTCTGCAATGTACTTATTAATTTTGCATATTAAAGAGGTGAACCTGAATTAAATAAATAAAATAAACTTACTGCTAAATCGTGAGAAAATCGATCCGTTCACGGAAATAAACACAATATTTATTGAAATTAATTACTAAAGTTATAATTCGCTAATAAACGAGTTTTTAATATAATACTTAAAAAAATTAATGCCGAAAAAAATTATGAGGAAAACATATTTATAATGTTTCCCTTGCAGTGTAAAATTTAGAGAAAAAAGGATGTACACTGACGATGATGGGCATATCACCTTAAAACAAGCGGATTACAAATGGAAAGACAATCATGGATTATTAACTACTAAACTTTGAATATTTCTATCAGTTTATAAACATGTAGTACAGGTGTAGCGAGTTTTAATTTAAAACGTACTGTGAAAGATTGCGACTCTCAATTAATCTATATTTAACCCGTAAAAAAATAAATAATGCCCGAGAGATTCCGAATAGAAAATCCAGATCGAGGCCAAAGCGTGCGAGAATCGTGTACAAAGCGTGTGAGAAACGTGTACAAAGCGTTTCGTGCAGCCTTTCGTGTAAACCGTGCAGCCTTTCGTGCAAAGCGTTTCGTGTAAACCGTGTAGCGTTTCGTGCAAACCGTGTAGCGTTTCGTGTAAACCGTGCAGCGTTTCGTGCAAACTGTGTAGCGAGCGTGTACCGTTCGTGCAGCGTGCGTGTGGGGTAGTTGCACGTTTCAGGGTCTGCCAAAAAATCCTATCAGGATATTACTGTGAGACATAAGGATAATTCTTGACATGGTGAGGAAAACAATAGGGTGAATTCAATGTGCATCGGATACCCTTGTACTCAAGTTCAATCGATATCGCTACCGACCAAATATTTTCAAAATGAAGCTTAATATGTTTTATGTGATTAAAATATGAATTCGTAAATAATTTTAGTTATTGAGAAAATATAATTAAGAAACGAATTTTTGGAATGTGTCAGAATTCACCATGGATCGGACAGTATTCACCCTGCATCGCACAAACAGTATATTGAACCGGAAAAACGTGATACCTTTATCGCAGTGGCCTTTTTTAAAACACGTGGAATGTTTATAAATTAGTTACATGAATTATTTTGTTTCCTTCAAAACTTAACTCTCATTTATAATTTGGTTGACTTTATCGATCCACAAATGTGTCTGGAGCAATTTTAATTACATCACGTCGTCTTAAATCGGTCTTGCAGTGCCTTGTAATATGGCAACTTACGCTTTGGTTTTGGGGGGGTTATCATCTTCTATTTAGAAGAAATAAGTATAGACCACTTCTACTTGTCATATATCGATAACTTGTATTTTCACTGAATATTTTGATTTTATATTTTTTGTATTTCTGTAAAAAGGGTATAAACACGTTTCTCTATACCTAAAGAGAAGTTATTATTGATGCATCGAACAATGTCCCATGCATGGATAATTCGTGCCCGCCATGCAAACCATTAAATAAACATTCTAATAAAAAACAACTCTAAGAAAATTAATTCAAACTTTGATATGAAATTTTTTGAAATTTTCTATAAAATTATCAATCATTTATAAAACTCAACCAAGACGGACTCGTTCCCTTAAAGTTTAATGAAAGAAAGACGACTCTTAAAATTTGCAAAGTCATAAAATTCTGGTTATTCCCCTTCGATGATGTCAAATATGATGTCACTTCATGGCAATTATCGTGATATTTTTATCACCACATGATAATAAAATTCGGCATCATTAAAAAGTTTAAATCCTCGGCTTTAATACAGAAAGAAGTCAAAACAAAAAAAAACCATTTAGATTTGATTCAAGTTTATTACTTGAAGTTGTCCGAAGCAGGATATGTGTCCGATGCATGGTTAACTCAGCCTTACGACAAATTGATGCAAACTTCGAGTGAATCAAAATCATTCTACCTCTCTTTATTATATTTACCAGTATTATATCTGAGAATGATAATTTGTAAGAGAATATCCAGTGATTTATCTGTATTTTATTTTTTTTTTCTTTTAAGTCTTCTTTGTCGTAGATTTATAATACATACGTACCAGGTGAACAGAGTACTCCTGCATCCTCGCTGTGTTGACAGTTATGTGTGCCTAATGCTGAACTATTACATTGCAATATATTGGATTCATGACCACCACATGATATATCGTCAATCCAAATTTTACCACTTCCTTGTCCATAAAATGCGTTTGATTTGGCTGTTGCAAAATTTCTACACGTAAAAAATCAGTAAAAAGTATATGTTTAGTAAGATCTTGATAATTGAAATGTTCTGTTAAAAAAAAATTAATTAATATTTCAAAAATATATATACGGTTATTGTTAAATACAATTACCTTGGAAAGCCAAGCATGGAACAGACAACAGCTGCATCCTTTTTGTCCAATCCGTCATCACACACTGTACCCCAAACACCGTTATGTTTAATCTCTACCCGTCCCTCATACGGCAACGATCCATTGACAAGCCTGATAGTATCTATTGCACGACATAATTAATGATGCTAAATAGAAAATCTTTTTTGTTGTTGCTGTTTGGCATTGGTAAATTTTCAAAACAGCATAAATGTTTTAAAAATTCAACAGACAAAACCTTTTTGCAATTCTTTTTCTAAGTTATTAACAAGTGATAGGACGGAGTACATTGACCATTAATTTTTTTTATGAAAAACATGTATTACTAGTGCACAATTTTGTAATTTCTGGTATATTGAAACTTTATTTCTTTAATTATTTTATATTTTAATGTAAAGGAAAATTTATTGGACCACAGAAAATGTTTATTTCTCCTCCTATGTCAACATTATTTCTTTTGTTGTTTCATCAATTTATTTCGGTTGCAGTCCACAAGACATAAAGCTTGAAAATTTACCATATAATGCCTTAAATACTAATAAAAAGCACATAAAAGCATGTAAAATACATAGGTCGTCCATGTCTTAAAGACCCCCCTTTCCAATATGAAAAAGGTCTTGAAAATGAAAAATAAAATGAACATTTTTTTATACAATCTAATATTAATATTGCTGGTTAAAACGAAAACATTGGGGAATTCAACGCATACGAACTAAAACAAAGCTCTATAAAATATACAACCGCCAACGGACCACAAAATGAATAGGTCATCAATATTTGGTGTGATACATGTAATATTCGTACACCTTTGCCAATAGTAAAACAAACGAAAATCTTATTTTGAAAACAATTTTTCGATCACAAATTAACAGGGAGAAGGTGATACATGAAATTAAGGAAAACTGCATTGAACATTGCAAATTTTTGGAAAAAAACAAACAGAAATCATCCCTTCTCGTTCTTCTGAACAGAGTAATAGAGCTAGCCTATTTAATATCACATGCTAGAAATCCAAGACGTCTTCAATGCTAAAAAATTGTTTTAAAATGAATATAGCATATTCTCAGTAGTATGTGTCTTTTGAGTCTTTTCAATTTAACTTCTAAGCCTTCATGAAAATGACGTGTACCTTCAAAAACGATCTACTATTTAGTTTCAAAAGAAAATTTCAATTTTTTTCTCATTTTTTCGAATATTCGTGTATCTTATGCGAAATCGGGACAATAACATGTATTCTTAAATTTCATGACATATTTTCCTCCTCCGTCTCCCATGAATAACATCGGGAGGCCTGGGTTCGATTCTTGCTCGCTGCGTCGCGTAAAACCTAAGGCGTGAACATAGGTAATGACTGTTCCTTTGTCAAGCACCTGGCACTTAAAGTAAAACTCACGGGTCTTTACGATGAGACTTTAAAATTCAAGGTCCCATTCCATGGTTGGCGTAGGCGTAGGCACTATAAAAAAAACTCTCACTGCTCAATGGGCTTGAATGCCGAGTATAGGTCTAAATTTGAAGCTCTTCAAATATGGTGACGTCTCTATATGAGTGAAAAATTCTCGAATGGGACTTATAACAACATGGAATCAATCAATATATCTGTGGATTAAACAGTATGCTATCTATAATGAATATGATTAAGATTTTGTCTTTCTGTTTATCTTCATACAGTATCCCCTTACGTTCTGGAGTTATCATCTATATTTCTGTTGCTATCTATAATGTTAATGTAATTTTCAAAACAAAATCGCCTCAATCTTGTCGGTACAACAAGGAAAATGCCCTACCTTTAGTGATTATCTAAATAAATGACTGGAAATGTCATAAAATATTTCAACTGGCGTTTTATCCCTAACAAAATATTGCATACGCTTAAATCAAATAGATTTAAACACTAAATTAATGGTATTTGTTTGTTTGGTTGGTTGGTTGATTAAAGTCCCTTCGGGAATTTTTCACTCATACAGAGACGCCAACACTTCCCTGTGGAGCGCTGCAAATTTAGACCTGTAACTCCGCACTTACGGCTTTTGATTATTGAGGAATCTGTTTAGTGTCAGACCTACTGCGACATGTGACCTCGGTTTATACGGTCTCATCCGAAGGAATGATCTCCAAGTCGCACAGTGGATTAGAACCCGCGAAGTAAGGATTAATCCCTACGCCACGACTCTAGAGCAAACGCTCTAACAATTGCGCCACGCGGGCGACCATGGTATTTGTAAATTCTGTGCAATATTTGAACAATTAATTAATACTATCAGTACCTACACATCAGTAATGTTAGTTGATCTTGCATGAAAACAATAAGTAGTTTATACCGACAAATATATCCCTTTACAGACACTTGTCAGGCAATAGTAGTTCGTATTCGTACCTAATGAGCAAATAACTGCTGCATCTTCACCATGGGTACAATCGTGTTCACCAAGAGCTGATTTAGGACACTGAAATAAATTAATCTCGGTTCCTCTACATTCAACCTGGTCCATCCATATAGTTCCATGTCCTGGTCCAAAGAAAGCTCTCTTCTTGGCCACTGCATTTTCCCTAGAAAAGAAGTCATATTTATATGTCTTCAATCATTTCGGGTCGTTATACATGTCTATTGTTTCTTTTCTAATTTAAACTACCTCCTTCTACTGACTTAATAACAATTCATTCCCAACCCCTCATTTTTTTCACCAAAATGTAATTGTTCGATGGGCTCTCGTATTACCATTCACACATATCATCAAATTATCCAAGGACTTTTCAATACATCAAATGACCTTAAAAGCCCACAATTTCGTACAAAAAAAAACTATGGTTTTTTCGAATAAGATTGACCGAATGAAAATAAGCAACATAATAATCATATCTAGATAATCTAACCTTGAAAATCCGAGCATTGAGCACACTACAGCAGCATCATTGTCGTCCCATTCGTCATCACAAACAGTTCCCCAGGTACCGCTATTCTTAATCTCAACTCTACCCATCGCAGCTGTATACCCGTTTACAAGTCTAATGTTTTGAGCTAAAAACATGAATTTAATAATTACATGCACTCCCCTTCCCCAATACCTTTCAATGAAATGCATTAGTAAATAAATTGTGTTAAAAGAATATGTAATTACAGGTGAAGTCCTCTGTTGCATGTTTACTTCTCAAACTTTCAAAGTTTTCAAATATCTACAATTGCATACCCAATATTTCCTAGCTATCTGATTGCAATATAAATAATAAAAAGTTATATACGCCTGCATACGAAATTCCAGATGATTTTTTCTACATGATTTTCTGATTTATGTTTTGGAAAATAAAGACACAAAGAACATTTTTAACAAATAGATTTATCAATTACAGGATCTGTCTGTGTTTCAGATCTATATTTCTATGGTCAGGAGTGCAACACATTTTTTAAAGATTTAATTTGTGTGACGAAAACACTTCTATTCATGCTTAGAAGTATCAATTAATTAATAATGATCTTTTTGTATAATTTAATACTCAATTATTGACAGTTTTATTATTAAAATCCTTCCTTTTTCAATTTCATCAATTCAGATGTGTTTTTATCTTTTTTATGATTTTTTTTTAATGAAAATTAAAAATAAACACATTAAAATGTTGTCATAAAATTCAAGTTATTCCTCCTCAACTTCACTGAAACAACAGAACAAGTTCTTAGGTAATTTTCACTTCACAATTCTACTTTTAAGGCCCCAATGCTTTTGGTCAGGAGTGCAACAGATATGTTAGAATTATAAATCATCCAATAAGAATAAAAATAAACAAAAATGATAAGTAGAATTTTTTGGTGGGTTACTGTGTTTATCCTCTAATGGAACATATGCTATAAAATATATTTTATCTTCTAAATATACATTTAAGCTAGTTTTTTGGCATAAATAGGGAATAATTGCAGGTACAATGCGAATTTAAAATACTTTCATCTGTTTTAATCAAGAAGTATTAGACTATAAATATTGCACATTTTCATTACCACTTGATGTTGCTAACACTTTATGAATTTTTGTGTTCTGTGGTTTTAATTTTAAATTTCACTGCAGTCAGGAGTGCAACAAATCTGCTTTATAATTAGCAATGCTTTTTTACTATCTTTACTAAAAATAAGTTGAAAAAAAATGTTTGATACTATTTGATGTTCAAAACACTATGTCTATCAACAAAATACAGAAATTTTACAGTCAATTCAGAGAATAATTTTCAGCATTTCACATATATTTTTAAATACAATTTATATATATTACACTTTGCAAATAATCATGTTTGAAGGTCTTCAAAATATGAAAAACCTGCCGTAAGCGATGATAAATATCAACACGACAAATTGATTTACAAAGTGAGAATGAGTTATTGTGTGTTATAATTTTTAAAACAATGTTAAATAAAATACATATCAGATGTCAGTAGTGCAACACAATAATGTAACATAGGGTCACTTCAAAATCTATTATTTTTTGTGAGAACTCGTACATAATAATTCTTTTTTGGCTTAGATTTAAAGAAGTGACTTAAACGGACAAAAAAGTGAATTTTGGGGAATTTTATTACTTTATATTTTTTTCATATTAAAACTTTTCAAACCAGAATTGAAAAAATAATGTAAAATAACAATCAACAAGCCAATTTTTTGTCACATATACAAGAGAAGATACTCAATCAAGGTCTAGATTTATACCCCTTTTACCATTTTGAAGCATAAAAAACTATAATTTCTTGTGATTAAGTATTTTAGAAAGTGTCTTAAGGTGTAATGATATTTTCTTTTTTCAAAAGAAATTTTACTAATAAAAATTCTGAAACTGTTTAATCTAAAAGTCTATTCTATTGCCACTTCAGGATTTTAAACTAGAATGCATGAATGATGATATAAGTGAACAAGAGGCCCAGGGGCCACATCGCTCACCTGAGCACTATGGCTAGAAAAAAGCAGAAATCAGTTCAGTCTTGAAAAGTTTAAATATAAAAGTGGGGGGGGGGGGTCATGAATTGAACAAATTTGAATCTACATTATCTGAGGATGCTTCCATTTAAATATGGCCAATCATGGCTTTGCTGTTCTTGAGTAGAAGATTTTTAAAGATTTAACCTATGTATTCCTATGTAAAACTTTGATCATCCATTGTGGCCCCACCCGACCCCCAGGGGTCATGTTTGAACAAACTTGAATGTACACTATCTAAGAATGCTTCCATATGAATATGAATATGCATATCATGGCTTTGCTGTTCTTAAGAAATAGTTTTTTTTAAAAAGATTTTTACTACGTGTTCCTATGTAAAACTTTGATCACCCATTGTGGCCCCACCCTATCCCCGGGGGTCATGATTTGAACAAATTTGAATCTACACTATCTGAGGATGCTTCCTTGTAAATATGACCAATAATGGCTTTGCTGTTCTTGAAAAGAAGATTTTTAAATATTTTTCCTATATATTCCTATGTAAAACTTTGATCGCCCATTGTGGCCCCACCCGACCCCAAGGGGTCATGAGTTGAAAAAATTTAAATGTGCACTATCTGAGGATGCTTCCATGTAAATATGACCAATCATGGCTTTGCTGTTCTTGAGAAGAAGATTTTTAAAGATGTTTTCCTACATATTCCTATGTAAAACTTTGATCGCCCATTGTGGCCCCACCCGACCCCCGGGGGTCATGATTTGAACAAACTTGACTCTACACTATCTGAAGATGCTTCCAAGTAAATATGACCAATTATGGCTTTGCTGTTCTTGAGAAGAAGATTTTTAAAGATTTTTCCTATATATTCCTATGTAAAACTTTGATCGCCCATTGTGGCCCCACCCGACCCCAAGGGGTCATGAGTTGAAAAAATTTAAATGTGCACTATCTGAGGATGCTTCCATGTAAATATGACCAATCATGGCTTTGCTGTTCTTGAGAAGAAGATTTTTAAAGATGTTTTCCTACATATTCCTATGTAAAACTTTGATCGCCCATTGTGGCCCCACCCGACCCCCGGGGGTCATGATTTGAACAAACTTGAATCTACACTATCTGAAGATGCTTCCAAGTAAATATGACCAATTATGGCTTTGCTGTTCTTGAGAAGAAGATTTTTAAAGATTTTTCCTATATATTCCTATGTAAAACTTTGATCGCCCATTGTGGCCCCACCCGACCCCCGGGGGTCATGATTTGAACAAATTTGAATCTACACTATCTGAGGATGCTTCCATGTAAATATGACCAATCATGGCTTTGCTGTTCTTGAGAAGAAGATTTTTAAAGATTTTTCCTATATATTCCTATGTAAAACTTTGATCGCCCATTGTGGCCCCACCCGATCCCCGGGGGTCACGATTTGAACAAACTTGAATCTACACTACCTGAGGATGCTTCCACATAAGTTTCATATTTTCAAGCACAGTGGTTCTTGAGAAGAAGATTTTTTAATGATGCCATTAATTTTTCACAAATTCTCAAAATTTTCAAAATTCTCCCCTTGGAAGAAGGCGTGGCCCTTCATTTGAACAAACTTGAATACCCTTTACCCAAGGATACTTTGTGGCAAGTTTGGTTGAAATTGGCCCAGTGGTTCTTGAGAAGAAGATGAAAATGTGAAAAGTTTACAACAACAACGACAGACAACGGACAAATTTTGATCAGAAAAGCTCACTTGAGCCTTTGGCTCAGGTGAGCTAAAAATATGTTATAAGTAGTTGAATTTTTCCAAAAAAAATCAGTTTGGTGGTCGTTTTTTTTTAATTCACCCATAATAGACATACAATCTTAGCTTGTGAGCCACCAATAAAGATGATTTTTTTTACTTCTTTTATTTGGTTGTTTAACGTCCCTTCGAGGATTTTTCACTCATATTGAGAAGTCACCACTTTCAGGTGGAGGGCTGCAAATTTAGACCTAGGTCTGTTCTCGACATTTACGGCTTTTGAGCAGTAAGAGATCTTTTTCGTGCAAGCACCTACTGCGACATGGGACCTCGGTTTATAAGGTCTCATCCGAAAGACCAGCTTCCTCTTCGCACAGCGGACTCGAACCCACGAAGTAAGAATCAACTCCCTACGCCACGACTCTAGAGCAAACTTTCTAATCATAGCGCCAAGCGGGCGACAAGTGGAAGACAGAAACACCAGGTGCAGGTTATCAAGATACATGTATCTTGCTAAATAAATAATTAAGGGTGATATTAGAAAAATTGAAATCACGTTTATCATTAAGTTTAGTTGTTAGTCTACCATCGATGTCTTTCTCTATTAAAACATCCAACTCTAATAATATATACCATATCATTTTCAGTTTTAATGTATTTATACCAATATATATACTCGAATTTTGTTATTTTTCTTTTTAAATTGATTAAATTTTTCGGTATATATATATATATATATATATATATATATATATATATATATATATATATATATATATATATATATATATATATATATGTATGTATGTATATATATATATATATATATATATATATATTCATTTTATTCAAAATTATATTTACACCACGAACAATGCATTTTTTAACCTTTCTATCGTGTTTTAATCCTTCGTCGTCGTAGAATTTGCATGCATGCGTACCATGTAAACAAATAACTCCTGCATCCTCGCTGTGTTGACAGTTATGTTTGCCTATTGCTGAACTATTACAGTGCAATATATTGGATTCATGACCACTACATGATATATCGTCAATCCAGATTTTACCACTTCCTTGTCCATAAAATGCTCCGGATTTGGCTGTTGCAAAATTTCTACATGTAAAATATCAGTTATAAGTATGCGTTTAGTAAGATGCTCTGTAAAAAATTATTTAATATTGCAAAACTACATGTATATGCAAGGTTATTGTTAAACACAATTACCTTGGAAAGCCAAGCATGAAACAGACAACAGCTGCGGCCATTTTGTCCCATCCGTCATCACACACTGTACCCCAAACACCGTTATGTTTAATCTCTACCCGTCCCTGATAGGGTAACGATCCATTGACAAGCCTTATAGTATCTATTGTACAACACCAAAAATATAGTAAATCAAAACATTTGAATTCAAAGGTGAATGAAAGGATTTCCCTCAGTAATTTTTTTAATCGTTAAAAATCATTACAAAGCCTTGGTAAATACTATTTTACAATGATGAATCACATTAACTTTCGTGTTCATGGCAGCTATGGAAATATCGCCTCCCTGTAATTGAGACCCTTAGTGAGCATTATGAAACTTATATCTCTGAGGAAATAAACCAGGAGCAGTTTATCTATACTGCATTTGTCCAAGCAAGATGTCTATTCCTTTGCGTGAAAGTATCTAGATGAAAAATCGCCAAATCGAGGAGAATTGAAATTTTGTCAATTCGACAGATGAATTCCAATATACATGTACAAGTTTCTTCAGACAGTGAATAAAAGTCTTAATATAGGAAGAGAGAAGTAATCAAATTAAATAGTCCTTAGTATAACCAGAAGTCTCTGACGAGAATGTAGCTCTACTGGTTGTACTTATAAAGGAAGATAAAGTACATGTAGCACTTGGACTTGAAACTTTGCAGCAGCAATAAATAGAATAATGATCCTTGGTTTAGTCTCTTATTGTGGCAAGATTTATTGCAACAAGACTAAAACTGTAGGAGGAGTAGCCTTTTAAAACAATTTTACAGAAATTTCGATTTAAGTTACAATGGCAACATCATTCAACCAAAAAAAAAAACAACAATAACATCAATTATGTATCTCTTTTTTTTTTTTTTTTTTTTTTTTTTTTTTTTTTTTATATATATAATTTATTGTATTTTCAATGGTTTCTTTTTACAAAAAAAATTGAGAGAGAGAGAGGAGAGAGAGGAGAGAGAGAGAGAGAGAGAGAATTATGAAAATAAGTCATTCAAAAGTCTCCAGCTTTCATCAAAAGATTCTCTTTCATTATTTTTATAAGATATATATTTTTGTAATTCATACATTGTCTTAATAGAGGATATCAACCCACCTAAGGAAATGTTTCTGTTTGTACATTTGTACAGATAAATGTAATATTTGATTTGTAGAGCAATAATATTTTTAAGCTTGTCAGTTTTCTTCACAGAGCCTAGTAAAAATTCCTTTTTTGAGAAGGTTATAGTAGAGTGGATTCTATCAAAGCAGTACTCTGCAAAATTCTCTAAAAGAGTCTGAACATGTTCACATTCCCACAACAAGTGTTCAATTGTTTCAGTTTCTGTTTTACAAAGAGTACATACATTACTGTCAATTTTTTTAATTTGATGCAGGAAGGAATTTGTTGCTAGTATTTTATGATTTATTCTAAATTGGAACCACTGAAGTTTTGTGTTTTTTGTAATTTTGAATGGGAGTAAAAAGATTTTCTCCCATTCACCATTGCTCAAGTCAAAGACTCTATTCCAAGAGATTTTACCCAAAGGTTCAATTATTTGTTTGATTAATATTTCATAGAAATCATGGGATTTTTTAGCATTCAGTAGAGAATTAACATTCTCTGGAATATATGGATAAGTTACCTTTAATAAATTATTAGGATCTCTGTTTATCTTTCTCAGCCATTCTAATATTGCTGCTTTAATGCCATTATATTCAAGAAAATGTGTTTTTATCCCGTATTTCGCGTGCAGGTCATTCAAACTCATAAATGACCCATCTTCATAAAGTATGTCACTAATACATGAAATATTACCTGAAAACCATCTTCTATAGAAAAATGGCTTTTTATTAATAATTAAATTTTTGTTTAGAAATAATGGTTCTAAAGAAAGAAGTGTGTCATTTTGTAAGGATTTTTCACTAAAGTTTAACCATGCTTGCAACACATCCCTCCAAAATATATTTTTTAAATCATTCATTTTTTTGACAACATACTCTTGCCCACAGTATACAACTTTTTTAATGTCAACATCTAAAAAAGAATCCAACCCATTGTCCTGTAGTAACAATTTTTTCATCCATACTAGTTTTAAGGACATAATGAACTCTCTTACACTGATCATCTTGAAGCCCCCTTCCTTATAATTCATTATGCAAATTTTCCTTTTCAGTCTTGAATTATTACTACCCATTACAAATGTATAGAAAATCTTCTCTAATTCTTTTATTTGTATTTCAGAGGGATTTGGGAGAGATGCAAAAATATGATTTAAGGTCGGCAGTAAAAGGGTTTTTAAAACTGTCAAGCGACCAAGAGGAGTTAAATTTCTCTTGTTCCAGTGTTGTATTAATTTTTTTATATTACCGATTTTAGATGCATAATTAAGCATAAGTATATTTTGAAGATTTGTATCAAATTCAATGCCTAATAATTTAAAAGTTGCTTTTCCCCACTCTAATATATTATCTGTACATAGAGTATCATTGCTACCTTTTTTTGACCCAATCCAAACTACTTGAGTTTTACTATAATTTATGTGCAAACCTGATATATCCGCAAATTTTTTAAGAGTAACAAGACTAGACTGAAGGGATTTTTCACTTCCATCTAATATTAGAGAAGTATCATCTGCCAACATAGTTAACTTTTTTTCAGTATTCATAAACTGAATCCCTTTTATATCTTTATTGTTTCTTATGCTGATTGCAAGGATTTCTGCACAAATGAGGAATAAATATGGAGACAAAGGATCTCCTTGACGGCAGCCTCTGTGTAAGTTAAAAGACTGTGATAGATTTCCTCCTTGATTAACAGCAGCTGTAATATTTGTATAAAAAATATCAACCCATTTTCTAAAGGAATTACTAAAATTAAAAAATTTGAGGGATTTCTGTATAAAAGACCAAGACAAGGAATCAAAAGCTTTTTCAAAATCTACCAGGAGTAAAAGTCCTGGTATATGTTCTTCCTCTGTAAATTGCATGATATCATATATCAGTCTTATATTTTCAGAAATATTTCTTCCTTGTATAAATCCAGTTTGATCTCGATGAACAATTTTATCAAGATATTTTTTCATTCTATTAGCAATTGAGCCGGATGCGATTTTATAAATAGTATTTAGTAAAGAGATGGGTCTCCAGTTTTTTAAAAGTTGTCTGGGTTTATCACCTTTCGGTATACAAGTAATAATACCATGTCTTTGCGTGATACTTAAAGTATTGTTTTCATAAGCATAGTTAATGGACCTTACAACAAAAATTCCAACAGATTTCCAAAATACCTTAAAAAACTCTGATGTAAACCCATCTGAACCTGGTGATTTGTTTGATTTCATATTATGGAGTGTTTCTGAAGCTTCTTTTAATGTTATTTTACCTTCTGTCTCCAAGGACTCAACTTTTGAAAGTTTAACAATATTTGGAAAGTTTAATTCATCATCAAGATTGATGTCATTTAAAGAATTATCTATATCTCTATATAAGTATTCATAATATTTTTTGGCTTCATTCAGTATTTCGGCCTGCTTATAAATAATTGTACCATTTTCTGTTTCTACTTTTGGAATGATCTTGCTTGTAAAATTTCTATTCTCTAAGTTGCAAAAATAATGTGATGGTTTTTCCCCTTGTTCTACCCATCTTGCCCTAGATCTTATTAAAACACCCCTCATCTTTTGTTTTCTTATATCTTCTAATTCTCTATTTTTTTCCTCTAAAATTTCAACATTGTCAGCAGTAGTATGTATTGTTTCTTCAAGGTGTTTTATTTCTTCTACAAGTTTTTCTTCTTTTAGTTTTGTTAGTTTCTTTTTGTATGAAGAGTAGGAAATACATTTTCCTCTTATTTCCATGAGAAGGGTTTCCAAAAACAATTGGTCATTTATTGTAAAAGTTAATTCTTCATCGTTAACTTGTTGCAAGTTTTCCATTAAATATACAGGTACAGCATACTGTTTTTTAACATTCTTGATGACTTCATTTATAGTATAAAGAAAATTTTCATCAAAAGGGAATTATTAAATTTCCAAAGACCTTTACCTTTCTTAAAATCATTAAAAGATAAAGATAAACTAATCATAGAATGATCAGACCTATAACTTGTTTCAATTGTACATTCTATTGCACTTGGCAATATATTTTCTGAGATCAGAAAGAAATCAAGCCTGCTTTGTTTTAGTGGATTTTTTTTCCTCCATGTATATCTTTGGGTGTCTGGATGAAACTGTCTGTATATATCAATATAACCACCATCTTCCATAAAATCAAGAACCTTTTGCCTTGCGTTTGGATTATTTATATGTTTGTAATTATAATAGTCAATGTCTGGGTTCAAAACAAGGTTGAAGTCACCACACATAATAACACTTTCACAATTAAAATCATCTATACAAGTTTGTATGTTTTCCTAGAAGGCTGGATTATCATTATTGGGGCCATAAATATTACAAAGAAGCAACTTTTTTTCATCAGTTTTAAATTCTAAAAAGAGATAGTTTCCATCAGCATCCCCTTTTTGTTTTAAAATTTGTATATCAAAGTTATTATTAACGAGAATGGCTACACCCCTCGAATTTGAGGAGAATGAGCTAAAATAACAATCAAAACCCCATAGATTTTGAACATCATTCTCAGAGTTGGGTGTAAAATGTGTGTCTTGTAAACAGTATGTATTGTAATTTAGTCCTTTTAAAAAGTTAAAAACATCTCGGCGTTTGTTGATATCCCCTAAACCCTGACAATTAACAGATAAAATTTGTAAATTCATCTTTAGTTGAAAAGTAAACATTACCTTTGAAAGCGTGGAGCCATTGTACTTCGGAAAAAAGTGATACAGGAAGAAAAGAAAGAAAGAAGAGAGCAGAAATAAGGAATAAGAGAAGAGAAACATATAAAACACACATTTTAAGTTCAAAAATGGTTGGGTAAGACCCCAAAGCCTTTCACAAAACTGCGTTGTTGTAGCCAAATCCGTTGGCAAACGATACCGGAAGAGTCACTACGAATAGTAGTACAAGGAGTCCTTAACGTGGCATATAGATCCGGAATATTTTTTCGTTCATTTTTCACTTTCTTCTATCTTTTCATCGATATTGTCTAGAATCTCAAATTTCACTCTCTGTTTATCATGTTT